TTTACACTTTTACAGGTTCATTTAAATTTAACTCTCTCAAGTCTCAACAGACAATCCGTCATGCCAATTTCATTGATATGACAACTTCAAAAAACTTTCTTTCGAAGCTAGAAATCATGATTGTTTTTCAAATTTTTCCAGGGATACTTTGGCTTCTGCTCTTTGTTTTCTACTCCCCCTCGCGGCTCTAGTGCTCCACCCCTAGAATATAGACCTTACTTGGGTTTGGTGGCACTTTGTGTTGCTTCAGTCACCTGCTCACGGCTCACCCCCTAAAATTTCTGGCAACACCCCATATGCAATAAGCTCAAGACAGCTTGTGAAATGTAAGGATTTTAACAGTTGTATTTCAAGAAGTTATTCACAAAGCAGTTATTTTAACTGAATCAATGAAAATCAGGAGAATTTCGTATATGTCGATATACTGATATTGCACCTCATTCAACATTTATTTATATTGAATTGTCTTCATGAATTGTTAATGAGTTTTACAATGTACCATCTTGTACAAATTCATTAAATTGTATTACATGGGTACAATGCATTTTGTATTTTTTGCTTTGTTGCAGTTTGCGTATAATTGCCTGTTCAAAGCCAGCTCTGTGAGAGAAATTGGTACAGTTAAATATTTCAGAGAGAAGCTCAACAGAAGAAATGTTACTGCAGACAAGGTCACAAAATCGTATGAAGGGTGTGAGCAATTTTTGGTGAGTATTGGTATTGCTTACATTTGTGAAGCAGCCATGGAATTCTGGGGCTTAGATGACCTGGATGGAAAGCCAACAAAACATGCACCTCAACCTGGAATGATACATCCGCCTTTGTGGAAAAAGAAAGAATATTTTGATGAAGTTATTGGTGAGTTTGTTGATGAGTTTGTAATGGCGGATCCAGACAAGGAAGCAGTTAATCAACACAAAAAAAACAGGAGTCTTTAACCAAAAACATTCACTTAGATCATGATTATGCCAAGATATAAGATATATATATATATATATATATATATATATATATATATATATATATATATATATATATATATATATATATATATATATATATATATATATATATATATATATATATATATATATATATATATATATAAATATATATATATATATATAAATTACTTTGTTTATTATATACATGTCAAAATTAATGCAATTTGATTGGTTAAGAGGAGTACAATTACTGATTTGAAAAAAAAGCAGCTCGCTTTGTAAATACAAACAAGTTTACATTTCCCTTACTTAAAATAAAAGCAGAAATGCAACTAAACATAAAAAAACTGACCTAAAACTCCCTTGATGAACTTTCAATATTTTGAACTTTACCAATTGTTTGTTGCCAAATCAAGAACTTGGCATTCGTTTCATATCACCGATTTGCTTGGATATTTCAATGAAATATTTCAACTTCATATAACTTTTAAAATTTCTTGTTAAGAAAGACATTTAAAGGCTTTTTCTTGTACATAGCTTAGATGTTTAGATAAACTATATCTTGTTTATTTCAATTTCAACCATATGTGTTAAGATATATGTACATGTGTTATATGCATTCATGTGACATGAATATCAAGAGCTATAATTTTGTCATGTATATAATATATAAATAATCACACATGCAGGCAAGTCATGCAATGAACCATCAACACTACTCGTGATTTTTTGAAAAGTGTGCCAAATTGCACTCGCCTTGGCATGCAATTTTGGAATATTTTTCAAAAGTCACTCGCAGTGATAATCGTTAATTGCACTAATTCCTGTGTGATTATGTATATTTCTAATAAAAAGCTGCAGTGCGAAGGGTGTACAACTAAAAAAAACACCAAAACATAGGAAATTGTCTGGAAACAAAATTCTGTTTGAGTATGCATTTTTGGCATAACAATTTTTAAAGGTCATGCATGCCCAGTAAGCAATATGTCCGGTGAGTGAGTTCACATGCCAATGACCAGGAACTGGTCATTTCATGGCCTGATTCCAATACAGGGTATACAGCTGCACACAAAAGTTTTGGGTATTTAGGAAATACAATAAGAACACTTGGATAAATTAAAAGTTCATAGTTGACAAATAATTTAAAATGCCATTCAAATTTTGCAACATAAATTATTATCACTATTATTAAATTAAACTATATGTATGGTATTAATAATGTGTTGTATACCTGAATGACTTACACCTCCTGTGGGATTCCATTGCATGCAGTACTAACAAACAAGCTGCTTGCGCTAATAGTGAAACTACAGTACCTGAAAAAATAGAAATATTATCACGTCTAACTCAATAAAAAAATGATCAAATGCATGCATTAAGGTAAGAAAAATTTTGATCATTAAATGATATTATTCACTTTAATTTTTACTTTTACATTACTTTAGATATTATGGCTTAAACGTCATTGAGTTAACAGTGTTTCTGATGCAGATGATAGATACATGTGCTGAAGGCGATGGTGAACGGAATGACATTAATTTAAAACGGTTACTGCAGTATTTTAAAAGCTATGGAACATTCTCTAAGTATGCCATAGAGATGTTCACAAGCATTGCACAAAGGGATGTATTGCTATCTAAAGAAATGGCTCACAGGTTAAGATGGGGAAGATTTGTTAATTGGGTAGGTGGAAAAGGGAAAAATATCGAATGTGATGCAGCACAAGAAATTTCCAATCGGACCAGCAAAAATGTAGTTATGGGAATGGGGGCTAACAAGACACCAGCAGCAATCATAAGAGCTTCAAAGTCTGCAGCTGGAGTTCAACAAATTGTATCAAGATTTGACAAAAATGCGAGTATCCACAAGCAGTCACAAAGGCATACCACACGTTCTTCAGATGAAGATGAGAATATTATAATCAAAGACTTGAGGAAGCTTCGGCCCTTTCGCATTGTAGCTGAAAGAAGCCATGCAAGTTTTAAGAACATGGAAGTGAGTCCTCTCGTTGGACTTGACATGCTCAGTTTTTTTAACTGGATAGAGAAACAGAAAGAGAACATTGTTATGGGACAGAAGTAAATATTGATGTAGCTGTGACTATTTACCAATTTCTCTTTTATCTTCTACGAGTTACAACAAGGAAGAGCTCAATAGTGTGTCAGAGCTGCACATACTGTATACATATGTAATTACAGTTTTGAATACCGGTACCTTGGAAAATTTGCTGGTGATATGATACCAAAAAATGTATATAAGTTCACTGACATCAAGTTTATAGTATTGCATACCAACTTGCTTGCAATAACAGACTGCAGTATTGGTGTACCTTTGATACACAAGTACATGAATTATCACAATTGCTTTCTAACAACTTGCAATTACTAAACAACTGAATAATTTCTAGTTATGATAATTTATCCAATTATTTGTTTAACATATTGCTACTAGTTTAACCAAATTAGATATTATTAATATTTGTGTATTAACATTAAGGCTGTTATATTAAGCCTGTTATATTCATTTTAGGCCATGCTTATTTATTGGGCCATCCATTTAATATGTGCTCCCACCCCCACCCCCTATTGAGGGTCAAGATATCCAATTTTCCTGAGGGGCAGCTCAATGTTTATGATGAGCTAATTTAACGTATATTTCTTCCATTTTGTTATATCCGTGGACAGATGGATCATTATTAATGGATACAAATTTTAAATGATTTTCTATAAATTTAAAGTGAAAATTGTCTTTTTAATACTTCTAATATTAATACCGGAACATTGTAAATATTTAGAGCCAGTCATCAAGACACTATATTCTAAACTAAAATATATTTTACACAATAAATTAATATATTATAGTATTAAAAATACCTTGTGAAACTGTTGTGAAAATTGCCGCAGACTGTGTTTAGCACTGGTCCACTGTCAGACTGTGTCTTTCGAAATGGCAAACAAAGGGATATCTCGTCAGGCATATACATTAGACGTGCCATCTTCTCACCACTCTTTCTACAGACATCACAGGTATTAAGGATGGACAAATTTCGTTAAAAAATCTCTTTTCTATAATTTCTAAGCGTGAAATAGTTCAAGAAATTATACACAGTAGACGCCATGAAAAAATTTGTACGCCAGCAATGAATTGGTCAGCGCCAAGGCAAATTTGCTTTTGCGCATGCACTAAAATGTCCATGAATCGTGGAGATTTTCGCAGCCTTTACCAGGGTCTTCTCATTTTTCACGCGCCATGCACGAAGAAGACCCTGGGGACGAGGTTGGACACTACCGCCACGGCTATCTTTAAAATAGGGAACGGGAATGGGGGAATGCGGGAATGGGGGAATACGGGAATGGGGGAATGCGAAAATGGGGTAATGCGGGAATGGGGGAACGGGGAATGGAGGAATGGGGGAATGTTGGAACAGGGAATGGGGGAATGGGGAAACGGAGAATGGGAGAACGGGGAATTGGAATAAGGGAATAGGGAATAGAGGAACGGGGAATGGGGGAACATGGAATGGAGAAATGGGGGAACGGGGAATGTGGGAATGCTAGAACTTTATTAACTTGACACGTATTAAAACGTGTGCCATAAACGTAACTGTCAAAGCATACACTGAAATACATCAGAACTCAAGCCTTTGTTTCATATATTTAATATAATCTAGTATTGTATTAAACTAATTAAACCAAACAAAGTATAAAAATACAGTTTTTATCAGGTAATGTACAGCAAAGAGCTGAATTAAGAGTGAAAACTAATAGACCATTTCCTAATTACGCTCTAGAATAACACCAAGTTGATGCTCAATTCTCTTCAGTAGTAAAAAACCTTGGTGTCTGACAGTGTCTGTGTTCAATGCGAAACTTAATTGAGAAATGATCTATAGCATTTTTAATGTAGTATAATCTGCAAGGTTTGGCTTCGGTGTAAAGCCAAACGAAAGGCTTATCAGTACTTAAAAACATTACTTTTTACTCATTACAAAATTAAAACTCTTCACATGAAACAACCGCAATTGTTCTTTTCAAGTTAAACTTTGTAGACTAATCTAAACGCTAAACGGGGTTTCTACAACCGGTCACTAATAATTAGACCATATATATACATATAAGCATAGTGAAATAGGCTTAAGCTATGTAATTGTGGTAAACAACAAAACTCAAAATGTATAATAATATAATACTATTGTTTGTGGAAACACTACAATAATTTATAGTTAATTAGAAGAAAACAATGTTCCACCTTCTATCTTTTTTCATCCAAATTAAAGTTACAGGACAACCTTTTTGGCGTTTTGCGAAAAATCGCTACTGTACTCTCAATACTAGTCAGATTGACATCAAATTTTTACGAATGTTTGCCAATCCATTTAAAATATGGTAAAGTTGTAAAATTGAAAAACCCAATAAAATAATGTAAGAATTATTTAGGAAAATCGTAAATGGAGATACCTTTACGTTTTTAAGTACCTTGCTGTTTTCAAGAAGTATATTCCTGAAAGAATATTATTTATAATAAGAAAAATTCGTTAAAACGCGTAGGAGAACAACGTACTCGTTTGAAAATCAGTAGTTGTCATAAAAATTTTTCCGGAAAAAATTGAATTTGAATTTACGTTTCTATGTTTTTGTTATTGCAGGGAATTGTATTTTATTAAATAACTCTGCGACTATTCAACATTTATCTGGTGGGAGAAACTTGGTGAGAGAGTAGAATCAACCTATTGCTTTCATGGGAATCAATAAAAACATATTACGCAAAATTAAAGGTGTTCTGTAACCTTAAAGTACCCAGCCGAACTCCGCAACGAGCCTTTGCACGTGTTCCAAATTAAAAAGCGGAGGAAACTGTTGTTGAACCACGAGGTCACTAGCTCCCAACAAAACTTGGATATTTCACCCGGATGCATTCCAATTTTAAGTGAAAATGAACATTTTCAGGTTGATTGGTATATTTTACAAGTCCGTCATTGGGATCTCTGTATTGCCGTATGTCGCGGTAAACAACGACAAGATCATCAGGAACAGCCTGAGGCGGATTTGTTATCTCTTTCTCGCAACCATAACACTTCCTTACTCGTGTTCCTGGTAACCATTTCAAGCGAAACGAGGAACTGGATTGTGTTTGGCCGATGTTAGCGCTGGCGGGTACATTTGAACTTGGTCTTACATGAGGGCCAGGATTTGAAGAGTCGACGTGACGAGCTGGAACGGGTACGTGACGAGCTGGAACAGGTACGTGACGAGCTGGAACGGGTGAATGGCCGTTACACCGATCAGTTTGTCGCAAAATCTCGGACGCGTTAATCATTGCTGCAATTGACTGGGGAATGGGTGGATCGACATCGTTCACGTCAAGGAGATCTCGTTGCTCGGTTACAGCAGGCTTCTCAAAGTTGCTCTTCTTTCTCTTGCTTGGTTTTCCCCCGCGCTCTTTGGTGCACCTCCCAACGCCATCTCCAACATTTTTGGTCCCCGTTTGGATCTTTTATACCATAGCAAAAACTCATTAAAAGTTCCACGTACTATTGCTACAGCAAGGATATGTTCGCATATTTTGGTGGAGCTATTTATGCAAGAACGATCGCATTTCAAAGAGCCACCTTTTCCAGGTGTAACAATATGGATGTAGTTGGAATGTACAGCTACAATGAACGATCCATCTGTTGCACCAGGTTTAGGAATTACATTTGCCAGTGAATTTAGCAGCTTTTTCGCCTTTTCGAACATAGCATCCAAATTACAATCAGAATTGTAGTAATACCACATTCTGCAGCTGACAAAGGGAGTTGATTTGCTGATGAAACTGCTTGAGTGACTGTCGACGTCTCGGTTTCCCCATCGTTTAGGTTGAGGTACGTTTTCTTCCCGTCCATACCGGTCTTTTGGTAAGTTTGCAATTTTGAAAGTCGCTGGGCATGAGTCATTTTGCTCCATCGTATATCGTCTACCACCAAATGTTGAAACTCTTCGCGAACCTATTGAAAATTAAGTAAATGTAAAATAAAATTTTAGCATTACTGTATACATATATATATATATATATACAAACTATATACTTCATTATCATACTGAACTCAATGTCGGTATACATGTTTTTTATGTGGACTCGGAAACGATTTTTATTGGCGAAATGGCCAGTATCTATAATATTTACCTCCGGCACCAGGCAATACATACATTGATGTACACACGAAGACGCGAACGTCAAGACGATGTCAAATTTGATAATTTTGATTACGCAAACTGAAAGCCATCAGTGATCGTTGCAGTTCACTGCCAGTGGTATAGACGAGACAGTTAACCGGCTATGATATTTTCGCGCTATATCACGATCTCGACTTCATGTGTTATTAAATAAACATTCCATTGACGCCTGAATGAAGAGGGCGAGAGATGCAGGTTCTTTCAAGGCAATTTTCCATTGCAGTTACTTTGCCCGCGCGGAACTAGCGAACACTAATCGACTTTTATTATTATTAATACTAATAATAATGATAATGATGACGACGACGAGAGTAATAATAACAATAATAATAATAATAATAATAATCATAATAATCATAATCATAATCATAATCATAAAGGAAACTTTATTGAAATTATATACGTATATATACAATTATAAATCTCACTAATTTAGGTAATTCATAATTGGCTACTTGAACCTACTTAATATTTATATATTAATAATGAGTATCCTTAAATGTTCAGTAATTCCGGATTTGACCAGTCCTTATCTCTGCAACAAAATATATAATATGTTGTCCTAATCGCGATAGACATAATTTTCCTGATAGCAAAATGTTGGTGTCTTTTATCAAGACCTAGAAAATAATAATAATAATAATAATAATAATAGTCGTTACTTACTTTATACATGCCTTTTCCAAATACGGCACGATCTTCATTACGATATTGGGTTTCAACGATCTTTTTTACCTCTTGTATGAATTCTTGTGGCTTCTTTGGATCGAAGTGAAGCGAATGCTTTATAATAAAATTTGCCGATTCGGGGTCATTATTTAAGTACTCTTTTGGAGGATCGCCCAGCCCAGCTTCCATTTTTACCGGCTTAAACATTGATGTTTTGACATCGTTTGCCTACACAGCAATAAACCGATACTGATAAGTTTTATGACGACACCATTTTAACTTTTTATTAGTAGTATTATATTTCATTCTACTCGTTATTGAGTAAATTGTTAAACTTCATTCTACTCGTTACTGAGTAAATTGTTAAACACGTCGGAATTTATCATTATGATAAATTTGTGGCACAAAACCCATAACATTAACTCCTAATCCCAACGGTAACCCTAATCTAAACCTAATTTAACTTTTTTCGAAAATCTAACTTTTTAAACTTTTTTTGAAAATGTCCTGCTCGTTTATTAAACAGTAAGTAGTCAAGGTCGTAGGTAAACACAATAATTGGGGGGGGGGGGCATATTCATATATTCATGTTCACATACTGTCAAAACAATCGCTTTCAAAAGAAATCCAAGAAATCCGTCGGACAGAACACGAATATATTAATAAATTTAATATGCACCCCCCCTCTCCAATTATCAGATTAGTTACGGCTCTGTACATAGTGCGCAGCATGAACATTTTAGATATGATAAAACACGTCAACAAGTGTTTTGAATAGCTTCAAAAACGACTACAATAGATGCCGTCTCATTATTATTCTTTGTATAAAGAACACTGATGGACTTTTATATGAAGCCCGAATACTAATGCATATGAGTTTTATAATAACTGTTTGAAATCTTTTTTTTTCACCCTGCTCGGTTTCCTTTCACTTGTTTTCCAAGTTTTACAAATTGGTAAAAAACTTTGAAAATACAAGTGATATTAAACCTTAATTTTACTCGGCCCCATACAATTACATACACTAATTATGTCGTTTTATCCGAGTGTCAAAGAACAAGTGTGACATACAATATTAAAGTTAATTTTTTCACTTTTTTTTTAAGATGAAATATTGTTGCATCGTGGTTAAAAACGACCCATCTACGAGTTTATTGGCGAAATAATTTTAAAAATAAACATTAATGCCTAAGGCAAGAAAATCAAAGCTTAAGTTTATTTGAATCAGGATGAATTTTTTTATATTAAAATGAGATATTTGATATACCTACCTTTTCTTTCACAAACCATTCATAAAAGGTGGACCCGCTATCACTCGGTCGACCATGTTCCGATTCTCTTTCATCCCATTTTTTCTGCAAACTGGACAATTTTGTATCAAATTCTTCCTCCGTGTTGCAATCAACAGTCCCTGGTACATCGTGGTTGCTTCTTGTTTGCCGAATATTTCGGAAATGAAGATTCTGACGATATC